ACAATTAAAAATTAATCATGTTTTCAGCTTCACAGTTTGTGGTTGCAAATAATTTGCTAACTAATTGCGGTGTGCATGTCAAAGTTTCGCGGCCAACAGTTTTGAACGCACCAAAGAAATGTGCAGCTTATTAATTTTGCACGATTTTCGCCGTGCTGCTGATTATAAATAAAGGCTGACGCCTGCAGTCGCCGCGAGCCACGAAAACCGCTACACTCGCTCAAACAACAACAAAGCTCAAATACCAAAACAGTCGCCGCTTTACAATCGAGTGGAGCTGCAAGAGTTGGAAGGAGAGAAACAATAAAATCAGTCAATGAGCCGCGCAGAGATGAAGTTGCACGGGCAATGCGGTTGCTGCACCATTCGATTCGAGATAAAGAAAAAAAAACTCAGTTCACAATGAAAATAATTTCTCCACTGATAGATGAAGATAGCTGAAAATCAATTATTTATCTTTCATCAGGCCAAATTTGGGCACCTGGAGATCTTTTTTGTGTTTAGACAATTACAAATAACAGTTTTTTAAAAAGCAGAGAGCACGTAAATTTATATAGCTGAGAAAAAAATCACGAGTCTTAAAAAAAAGTACTCGTATGTAGTAGGATTTTTTGTTTGAATTTTGTTTAAAAATGTTAAGTTCGATGAAAAAAAAAATCAAAATTTCACTCATTGGGCTACAAAAATTAATTATTAAATTATAAATACACATAAATTTGAATCGCTATACCTTTGAAATGTCCCTTTTGAGAACGGAAATTTATTCCATTTTAATGTGTTAGTAACAGTCCATTCACACGATAACATGGCAAATTTGGAGCTGCACGATAAAAAAAAAATTGTAAAACTCGGCCGTATTTTTTTGGATGGGCGTGTTGTGAACAAAACAATAATAACTGTTCTCTCATTAAAGTCGAAAGGAAGCGGCGGCGGCGAATCAATAGGCCACGCTTTCTTCTTTGTGCCGATTTGCGCTCTCAGGCGAGGCGGGGGTGGATGCAAATTGCTTATTTCGCATCTCGTAAAACATCACGTACTTGTACGTGGACCAGGGCACACCTCTCGTTCCGTCCAGCGCTGCAGAGAGTGCTTTTGAATTTCAAAACAATGAAATTTGTGTAAAGCTACCGTTACATTTTTTATTCGATCGTCTCTCTCCACACACAAGATTGCTCTCGATTCAAGAATCGACCTCAAATTTGCATAGTTCAAAAATACATTCATACCGCACCCAATATTAACCCAATATGAATACGATTTATTTGAATTTTAAAATCAAGTACACACTAAGAATGAGAATTTTCAGTGATTTTGATTTTATTCCTTTGTACTAAATTTATGAGATTTCTCATGTATTATATTTTTAAAGCCATTTGTTTAAATACGAGATTATTCTTTTAATTATTAAAAAACTTGAAATGTAAAAATTATGGAGTACAATATTTATAATGTAGTTTTATATTGATTTAAATGTTTTCAATGTTTAATTTTACAAAGAAAAACAATGCAAAACTTGCGGAGCGCGTAGCACGTGGCACAAAATTGTTAATTGCTTTTTCACATGCAATGTGGAAACTTTTCTAGTGCCATTTATTTTCATACGAAATGCACCTCTGTGGATCAATAACACCGAGCAGAGATTTTCTCCGAAAAATAAATACTGACCGTGAACGATCAATATTTAAACAATCACAGGGTCGTAAATCTCTACTCCTTATCTCAAAATAAAAATTTTGTGAGTAAATCGATTTCCTCTCGTGTATAAAAGCTATAAGTATATAAACAATGTTTACAAAAACTATTCTATTTAAGTGTTGTGAAACGTGCCGAAAAATAAAAACATGCCCCAATTCAGAGCTATAATGAAATTTTCAAGTGCAAACATTCACGAGTTTGAAAAGAATAAACGCCTCTGGCGAATTTGTACAATTTGCACTTGGAGAGAGCAGAAGTTTGCCCTGCGCAAGTGGGTTCGTTAGTCACGCGGCGCCTCTTGGGGATGCGATTCCAAGGGGGTTGAGCATAAATATTTCATTTTGTGTGCTCGCAAGGCAGATTATAATGGAAGGAACCGCAGCCGGAGGGTCGCGAATATTAACAAAAAAGTGGGTATGAATATTTGAGGAGTTGCCTTTCTATTCATCTCATTTTGGTGTTTGTTTTTTTCCCTCTCGCGTGAAATTTTATTCCTATTGTCCGGCCGTTCTATTTGTAGAGAGCGGAGGCTCGTTTTGGGGAAGAATGGAAAAGAAGTAAAATAAATAATAATTTTTTTTCTTTCTATTTGCACTTTCGTATTACAAAACTGTAGGTCGACCCACCACTCCAGCAGCCAGAGCAATTAAAAGTGAAAAGTCGCATGCAACGCATAAAAAATGATAAATGAGGCGCGCTATCAAAAAGTGACGGCCGAAATCCGAGCTGCCGGTGGCACACGTGTAAGTGCGATCGTGCGCCCACATTGCGTGCCAATCAATACCCACGGTGCAACCATCGAACCAAACGGAGCGTCAAAATAAATATATGTGGCTTAAATTAGCTCTTAACTAAAATCAATACAATCGTATATTTTATAAAAACATCAAATTTTTTGCAAAAAAATTGGAATTTTTCAGAAGATAGCAATTTGGTAAAATTTAGCCATTGATCAAATAATAAATTAGACTATTTTGAAAAGAATATTGAATCTAGGGATTAGGAAAAATACATAATTATATGATCATCTTTGTTGGAAATAAAGCTAAATTTAATGAGCCCTATAAATTAACATTTAAGTTAAAATTGAGTTTTAAGAATTACCTCAAATCACCTTTTTGAAAAAAAAACTTGCGAGATTTTTCATCTCAATTATTTACCGAACTGAATGAACAGGAGAACAATTAAAATTTATTATTAAATAATAGGATTTTTACAATATTCCAACATTCTAATCACAACATATGTCCTAATCACTTTTTTTTCATATTCTAAGTATATTTTATTTTTCATCACATTTCTTTCCATGTAAATTGCTATCCTTCCCTACTTAACTAAATAATTTTTTTTAATTAATTTAATTGTAAGTCATACTTTATGGAGTGCAGCCAAGCTTTTAAGCACGTTTTTTTGTCCCCTGTGGACGCTGCACCGCCGCTGAGAAACAAAAACCGCTTTTGCTTGACAAAACAGCTTCTGATTTCAGGAAGTTGAAATCAATACTTTTTTCTTGCTACATGCTGCTGGGGAGCGACAACCTTGATTGCGCTCTTCGATTTTTTTGTTTGTTACATTTGACTCGCGCCGCCCTTACTTTTCACATTAATCGCTGCGGGGTTGAACGAACCAAGGAGCGGCCGCAATGCACAACACACCACAAGTTGCTGCTGCAATCGGCGCGCGTATTGATTCGTCGATCAGCCAAGGGGTGCCATCGAGACGGTCTCGCGGGGTCGCTCTTTCAGACACACGGGGGTGACTCACTTAAAGGGCACAACCCCTCAATCACTTCCATTGTGTTTCGTATCAAAAGTAAAAGTAATTTTCCAAGCAAACATTTTTACTTTGCGAGATCAATTTTTTTTTATAAAATAGAAGAGTTTTTGAATTTCCAAATTATATAAATGCAAAACATAATTATTTCAATATAAATTAAGAAGTTAAACGCTAAAATAATAATAAAAATTTTGATTCGATTTTTCCTAGTAAGCTATTGAATAAATATGAAATGATTTTTGGGAATTTTAAAAGTTAAAAAAAAAATCTCTAATTATTATTGGCAAAAATATTGGCTGGAAATATGAACTGCTTCTGCGTAGCTATTACAATTTCTAAGAAATATGTATCAATAGAACTTGCGATTGATTTTTCAGTCTGGCAAAATGACTTGCATGTTGGCGCATAAAACACACATTTGCGCCACCTTGTTGGAAAGTACAACGTAATCGCATAATGATTCAATTGAACCGCCCGGGGCGGTATCGTTCGTAAAAAGTATGCGTCGAAAAGAGGCCGGTGCACTTTTGATACGAAATATGTTATTTAATTTTCACCTTAATTTCGAAGAGAGAAAAAAATAAAAATTAAAATACCTTTGAAGGGTCAGGTGAGAAAATCGGTTGCAACGGTCAATCCTAGGTAACAGGTCACTGAGCTCCGCAATGGTAACAATTGATAGCACACTCTGTGGGTAAAAAGGTAGCAGCACCGAATCGTGGGTATCCCTCGGCACCGTAGACGCGCGTTGACTGGAGCGACTTGCGAGAGACCGAAGCGGTCCGAAGCCACTTGGTCACAGGAGGATAGTTCGCGGCGGCTACCACCAGGGGCCGCGACAATGCAGCACCGACGATCCAGAATGCAGGAAAGAATATTTAATTTTAAAGTTTTATATGAACTATGAAGCAATAAAAATTATTAGAATTTGTCGTTATATGTTATGTAATCTTAAAAAATGCAGCAAAATCAAATTAGATTAAATGGATTAAATATTTCATGGATTAAAAATTCATTTTTTACAGATTAAAATTTTAATTTCAATGATTTATTTTTCATTTTCTATTTAACAATATAATTATTTAAAAGTGCTTTTTTATCTTATTCGAGGTCTTGACAATTAAAAATTATATGATTATTTTCTCCAAAGTCATTGTGATACGTAAAAGAAATCAGATTTTTACAGAATACTTTTTCACTACATCACACACTCTGTCCCATGCAGGGTTTGCATGGACCTATTAAGTACGTTTTGGTAAAACGATATTCCTAAGATAATAATAATAATTAATTGAACATAGCAAAATAATAAAATTCATTAAATAGTCAGGAAGAATAAAGAAAAACTATTAATTTGATATATTATTATGTGATACTCATCTGATATATTATTTCCTCAGTGTAATTTAATATTTTTGATTTCACTGTTTTGCCACTGACGTTATGGGTGTATCTTAAAAATTCGCGATTACATCATCACGGGCGTAAAAATGGGACATTCATATCTCATAACATTAGTTCTCCATCAGTTGAGCCTATGAAAAAATTATGTTCTCCAAATTCGAAATGATTTTCCTGCTTTTGTGCTCTCTCGTTGATGCCGGTCTTTGCGTCGACTGTAGCAAAAATCCGTCCGATTCTGCAAAACCCGAGCACAAGTTGAGGTACCAACTTTTCTGCAAAGGCGAGTACGACCCTCTAGTGCGGCCGGTAAAGAATCACGAGGACAACATCACTGTCAGAGTATTTTTAAATCTCAAATTCTTCAGCGTTGTAAGATTTTGGAATATATTTATTTATACACTAACATAAATTTTATCAAAGGATGAAGACAGCAATAAGTTTATGATGCACAGCTGGGTCATCACGGTAATTTCTGATTAAATTATTTAAAAAAAAGAATGATTTTTTTCATCAAATATTTATTGCTCAAAATATTACTGGTTAAGACTAATTCATTTTAGAAATGGTTTGACGCGGACCTAACATGGACACCTTTAGAACACAATGGCATCGATCAACTTGTTGTGTCCAGCAGCGCAATTTGGCTTCCAGACTTAGCAATTTTCAAGTACTTGAAAGTATAGGAAAAGTTTAATAACATACTTATGTAATTAAACTTTTCCTAATGAGCAGCACAGATTCATTTTATTAATGTTGTTTATTTTTCCAAATTGTTATTGATGTTCGAAATATTACAAAATTTAGCATCGAAGAAAAAATAATTTTGTGTTGGAACGTTGAATTTTTCAATTGTTGAACAAAAAGACTACACTGATCAAACAAAGATTTTGCTTAGACTTCCGAGATCAGAAAGACCCCATCCGCCGCAATGAGCCACGGTTGAACTAAAATTATAAATTATTGCTGAAATTTCTTGTCTCTTCTCATTTTAAATGATTAACTCATTTATTTTTATTCGCATACAGTAGCTTAGTGAAACTTTTATCATAATAATGTAATGAAATTTCAAATATATCTGATTGATACTATGCATAAATTTATTTATTCATTTCTACTTTTTGGAAATATAAAAAAAATTACAAATATTTTTATGAAAATCAAGACTTAATTAAACAGCAATTAATAAAATGAACAAACAAAATTGAGAAAAAATAGCATCAAAATGCACAATAAATTGTTTTTAACTTTTATTTCTTAAATTTAGTTCGGACATGAGCCAAACAATGCTGTACTCGTCCACTGACTGCACGGTGGAGAGTACCGGCGAGGTCAAGTGCGCACCGGACCTTCAGGCACCCGTTTACTGCGACATGAAGCTGCAGAAGTGGCCGTATGACACGCAAAAGTGCTCCCTGTACATCAGCACGTGGGTCAACACCGGCAACCTGGTCGACGTTGTTATTCACCAAGTAAAAAATCCATTCACAATCTCTGGTCGATTCACAATTTAAGTTTTTCAGAAGGGCTTCAGGGATTTTGAGCTTATGCAAAACGGAAACTGGGAACTTTTCAATAGGACGGCGCATAGAGAAGCGAATATCGGCCCACAAAATTTAAGCTACCCTTACCTCCAATTTGATTTTGAATTGAGACGACACGCTGCCTTGTACTCGGCTTCCGTCATTGGACCAGCCTTTGGTTGGTTTTACTAAACTTATCAATACGCGGTAGTCGCGGTACTTATAAAGCAATAGGATCAGTGAGATTTCATTATTTTATTTTTAAAACTTTATCTGGGTCAACTAAGTAATGCATTTGGTTTGATGAGATTTTCATTAATTTTAATCATTTTAATTGTGGCAGATCTTGAAAAAATTAATAAAATTTAACAAAATTCTTATTAAAATCAATGCCAATTATCAAACAATTGTTCTTCGTGATTAATTTAAGCTATCTATTAATGTAACCATGAAAATGACCTACAAAATATTGGTTTACAGAATTTAATTGCCACCAATAATTCATCAATTTTTAGATAGTGATAATGAGACTTGTTAAATATTATCTTATGCAAAAGGAAGATAAAAAAAGTTAAAAAATTAAATTAATGCTTTTCTGCAATTTTTTTTATAAACTGCAAATAATTCTACATTTACAAAATAAATGTAACAATACATAAATAAATAATTCTGAACAATTTTGCAAAAAAAAAAAATGATATAATTCAACTTTTTTGGCATTTTAGCGCTTGCTGCATTGATGATGTCGACCTTTCTTATGAAGAGCTTGGCAATAAGGTGCGTGATTTGCTGCACTGGATTAATATGCGACACCCTGTTCCTTCAATATGTTGTTTGGAACTTACCAGCTAATGGAGATACCAGTCCCACCATAGGTATGTACCAACGAAATTCAACGCACAATTATTGCTCATTTTTTTTCTCGCAGTTTCCTTTTATCGAGACACTCTGATTTTGAACCTGGCGGCAATGGCAATTGCCATAATCACGGACCAAATGCGATCCGCCGGAGATGGAGGGTGCGCTGACCTTTGCGGGGGTCAAGCGCCCAAGTGGCTGGTCGGCGCTGCGACCTTTGTGAGGGGTCGGGGCGGCAAGGCGGGTCAACTCATTCTTGGCGTTCAAATCCCTCAGCCTGAAGAGGTTTAATTGTAATTTTTTGCATTATTTTTTATAATTGGTTTTTCCTTAGATTTCGCCGCGAGTTTCTGAGAAAGGTGGGATTCCGCAGTGCGAGACATTTGCTACGTTTGTCGATCGCTCTTCATTGCTTGCGTTAGGAATTGTCCAGATTTTCATGCTCATCACACTTGTGCCGTGAATTATTCAACTGCAACTCTATATAATCTGTAAGAATAAATAATTCAAAAATATTTCCTGTCACCAAGTTTATTTTCTTGTAAAATTATTTAAATTAAAAATTACCAGCATTTCAACGTTTTGATCATCACCATAATGAAAGAGGCCATTAAAATAATTAAGAACAAAAATTTAGTCAGCCTAGGCTCACTGCGGCGGACGGGGTCTTTTTGATCTCGGAAGTCTGAGCAAAATTCTTACTAGTGGTGGTGCCGTTTTGTCCAACAATTCCTTTTTTTTCTCAAATAAATGTTTTGAACAATTGTAACAACAATAATCATAATGAAGTAGAATTTTTAGTGAAAATTTACTCACCGCTTTAAAAGGTGTTTAAAGGAAAAAGTTTTTTTTTTTTAAATATTTATTTATTTTGCTGAATATTTTTACTAGTTAAATAAATTATTCATTGTCATTTACCGTGCATTATATATGTATATTATATGTATTTTTTTAAATATATGTACACATATATTGAATTATTTATTAATTTTCTCTGCCTGTAAATGGAAATATTATTTATATCAAAAATTGAATAATAAATGAGGTCAAAAACATGATCAGCAAGAAAGACTATGCAATACTGTAATGTGAGACTCTCATTAAATTATTTTTCCTCAATGTAATAAAATATTTTAAATTCATGTTGTTTTCCGCCGACAATGGGTGTATCTTCGGAATTCGCGATTACACCATCACAAGCTTAGTAATGGGAAATGCATACAACACAGCATTAGTTCTCCGTCAGTACAGTAGAGTAGAACCTATTCAAAAATCATGTGCTCCAAATTTGGATTGATTTTCCTGATTTTGTGCTTTTTCGTCGGTGCCGGTCTTTGCATGGACTGCAGCAAAAATCCATCCGATTCTGCAAAACCCGAGCACAAGTTGAGGTACCAACTTTTCTGCAAAGGCGAGTACGACCCTCTAGTGCGGCCGGTCAAGAACCACGAGGACAACATCACTGTCAGCGTTTATTTAATTGTCAAGTTCTTCAGTGTAGTAAGATAAAGCTGAAATTTATATAACATGCCATTTATTGAAAAACTTAACCAAAGGACGAAAGAAGCAATAAGTTTTTGGTGCACAGCTGGGTGATGACGGTAATTTATCAATGAAATAATTTGAAAAACAAAATGTGCATCTGGATTTTTTTGAACCTTAAAAATCATATCAGGAATGGTTTGACGCGGACCTAGCTTGGACACCTTCGGAACACAATGGTATTGAACGTCTTTATGTGTCCAGCAGCGCCATTTGGCTTCCAGACTTAGCGATTCTCAAGTAATTCAACTTTTCCTATAAGCATAGTTTTTGCAGGCCTCAATAGTTAGTGAAACTCCTATCATACAATAATTTGTTCAATCTACTCAAATATCAAATTGTTTTATTTTGCGCCAAATAAGAAAAAAGAATTAATATATATATATATTTTTTTTTTAAATTTAGACTGAAATAAGCAATATTAAAAAATGGACGATAAGAATAAATTGGAATAAATTCGTTTCCAAATAATTCATTCACAATTTATTGGTTAACGATTGCACAAGTTTACAAATTTTTTTTACTGTAGTTCGGACATGAGTCAAACAATGCTGTACTCGTCCACTGACTGCACGGTGGAGAGTACCGGCAAGGTCAAGTGCGCACCGGACCTTCAGGCACCCCTTTACTGTGACGTAAATTTGCAGAAGTGGCCGTATGACACGCAAAAGTGCATCCTGTACATCGGCTTGTGGGCACACACTAGCAACCTCGTTGACATTGTTCTTCACCAAGTATAAAATCCATTTGTGACTTCTGATCAATTCGCAATTTTAGTTTTTCAGGAGGACTCTAGGAATTATGTGCTCATGAAAAGCGGCAGATGGGAACTTCTCAAATTGACGTCGCAGAGAGACTCGATCAATGACGGAAATAATTTAGCCCACCCTGAACTCATATTCGACTTTGAGTTGCGACGACACGCTGCCATGCACGCAGCCTCTGTCATCGGACCTGCCTTTGGTTAGGTTTGCTTTTGGAAAGAAAATTTTAATTATGAGATTGAAATGGGGACGAAGTAAAAAAATAAATTAATTTAGGAATTGCAAAATTTTCATTTTTCAATAAAAAATAGATACCGCTTTGAAAACGTGCGGAAAATTTTAAATTAATTTAAAAACAAAAATTGATCTTGTTATAAAAGCACTTGCTGGATTGACGATGTCTACCTTTCTTATGAAGAGCCTTGCAATGAGATGCGTGATTTGCTGCACTGGAATAATATGCAACACCCTGTTCCTTCAATACGTTGGATGGAACTTGCCAGCTGATGGAGACACCTGCCCCACCATAAGTCCATCATCCATCAACGAAATTCAAAGGAAAATATTTGCTCATTTTTTTTCTCGCAGTTTCCTTTTACCGAGACACTTTTATTTTGAACCTGACGGCACTTTTGCTCGCCATAATCACGGACCAAATGCGATCCGCCGGAGATGGAGGGTGCACTGACCTTTGCGGGGGTCAAGCGCCAGAGTGGCTGGTCGGCGCTGCAACCTTTGTGAGGGGTCGGGGCGGCAAGGCAGGTCAACTCATTCTTGGCGAAAACAATCCTCAGCCTGAGGAAGCAAGTTATTAAAATTTTTGCCAAGTTCTTTTTGTTATTTATTGTTTTTTCCTCAGATTTCGCCGCAAGATTCCAAGGAAGGTGGGATCCCGCAGTGCAAGACATTTGCCACGTTTGTAGACCGCACATCATTCCTTGCGTTCGGAATTGTCCAAATATCCATGCTCATAGCACTTGTACCATGAAAAATTCAATTACAATGATGCAACAATAATTTTAAAATATTTCTTGTCTAAAAATTGTATATTTTTATCTAAAACTAAAATAGTTCAAAATTTATAAAAAATTAAAAGTTTCCATGATGACCTAAATACAATAATAATAAAAAAAAACAATTAGATAATTACAAATATGAGTGTTGTTTATATGAAAAAAATATGTTTTAATAACATTACTAGAGAAAATATTTAATTATTTTATAATAATGAGTACCGTTTTCAAATCAAAAAATATTGTTAACCCCTTTATATTTTATAAATTAATTTGAAATTTGGAAAATATAAAAATATATATTTTATTATTAACATTATTCAAAAGATTATAATTAACAATAATTATTGATAGCAGGTTTTTAAAATTGAAAAATAATCATTAAAATCGATCCTCCTTGATACGCGCTCTATAACTCTTGCACTATTCATTGATTCAAATATTATTTTTCTGCTTTTTATTTTCATTCACTAATTTTTCTTCCATATTTTACATATATTAAGTATTTGTAAATTTTATAATCTCACTTGTGTTTATCAGTTTTGAATCAATATGATATTGTTGGGCGTATAAAGTGTAAAATTTCCATGTACTGCGCGCTCTCACTATGGGCGTAAATGGGAAACTTTGTATCGCACAGCATTTGTGACCAGTTCCGTCAGTTCAATCGAGTCGAGCCCTCTGAAAAAATATGGTCTCCAAGTTAAGTTTTCTTCTTTTTGTACTTTTGTGCTTCCTTGTCGGTCCGGGCCTTTGCGTCGACTGCAGTAAAAGTCCAACCGATGCTGCAAGACCCGAGCACAAGTTGAGGTACGAACTTTTCTGCAACCGGGAGTACGACCCTCTGGTGCGGCCGGTCAAGAATCGCGAGGACACTATCACGGTCAACGTGTCTCTGGACTTAAAATACATCAGTGTTGTAAGATTTTAAATTTCAAATAAAAAAAATATATACCAAAAACATTTTGATGAATGCATTTTTCTCAGGACGACCACAGCAATCAGTTTTGGGTGCACAGCTGGGTTGTTACGGTAATTTTGAAATTCAATACAGCTCAAAATTTAAGTAAAAAATAAAATTCGATTTATAGAAATGGTTGGACGTTGATCTAATATGGCAACCTTCTGACTACAGTGGCATCAACCTTTTGTCTGTTTCAAGCGGATCCATTTGGCTCCCGGACTTGGCAATTTACAAGTAATTATAACTACTTAAAACTGTGTTGCCTTTTTTTCTTTCAAAAATTACAGATGAGAACGAGATAATAATATTAATTATAAACACTTTATTCATAAATTTTTCTGTTTTTATGCGCAATTGCAATTAATTAAAAAAAAAGTCTGTCATCTACTTTAATCAAATTAAAAAAGATTAGTGATTTTTTAAATCTAAACAGAGATTAACACAGCTAAATGTTTTTCTAGGTGGCTATTTAATTATGTCCTACACAAGAGAAAGTTTTGTTTAAAAAAAATTTAGAACAAAAATCATTAGAAAAATCAACCTTATTTACTCTCCACACAAAAATTCAGTTTTAATGGTTTCTTCTGTTAAAAATGCAGCTCGGACATGAGCCAAATAATGCTTTACGCGTCCACTGACTGCGTGGTGATGAGCACCGGCCAAGTAAAGTGCGCGCCAGACCTGCAGGCGCCCATTTACTGCGACATGAAGCTGCAGAAGTGGCCGTTTGACACGCAAAACTGCTCGCTCTTCATCGGCTCGTGGGCCAACAGCGGCAACCTTGTCGACGTCATCCTCGACAGGGTTAATGAGTTCAATCAAATTTATGCTTTTCTCTCAAAGTTTGGAAATAATTATTAGTTTGCAACGTGATATTGCAGAACAAATAATACAAAATAAAAACGCACATTTGTTTGCTGTAGAGTGCAAATAAGTATTCACAAATTTTCCAATAAAAAAAAATCATAATAGTCACGTGCGGGATTAAATTTCTCAATAATTATAGACGGGGTTGAACCAGTACAGCTTCATGAACAGCAACGCCTGGGAACTGCTCAAGGTGACGCCTTCCAGAAACGCTTACACCTACGCCAACAACATGTCCTACCCTTACATCCGCTACAACTTTGAGGTGCGGCGACACGCGGCTATGTACGCGGCTTCTGTCATTGGGCCTGCCTTTGGTTTGTACCTTTAAATTTACATTAAATTTTTTCAATTTAACAAACAAAATTAACAATAAATTATAATTCAAAAGTTTGATTTTCCCTTTGCTTGAAAATCTTCTTACGAAGTGGTTCATTAAATAAAAATTAATATTAATTTGTATTTCAGCACTCGCTGGTTTGACGTTGCTCAGCTTCCTACTGGACAACCTGGCTGTCCGGTGCTTGATTTGCTGCACTTCCCTCATTTGCGACACCCTGTTTCTTCAATACGTCGGCTGGTTCCTTCCCGCGGACGGAGATACAAGCCCCACCATAAGTCAATCATTGAAATTGTATCAGGAATTTTAATTAAAAACTAATTATCCTTCAGTTTCCTTCTACCGGGACACATTGATTTTGAACCTGGCGGCAATAGCAATTGCAATAATCACTGACCAAATGCGATCCGCCGGAGAGGGAGGGTGCGCTGACCTTTGCGGGGGTCAAGCGCCCGAGTGGCTGGTCGGCGCTGCAACCTTTGTGAGGGGTCGGGGCGGCAAGGCAGGTCAACTTCTGCTCGGCGAACATGACCTCGAGCAACAGTCCGAGGACTCCTCTGAAGTGGCAAGTATTTTCTTCACTGACTTTCACGATTTAGACAACCGGAAAGGCGGGAATGTCGCGATGGTTGCATAGCTAGGAAAAGTAAAATAATTCAGTTACTTTTGCAGTTGTCGCCGAGGGAGTCGGAGAAACGGGGAATTCCGCAGTGCAAGATGTTCGCCACTTTTGTCGACCGCATCGCTTTCCTTGTGTTTGGAATCGTTCAGTTAGTCATGCTCATCGCACTTGTGCCATAAAATTACACCCAGAGAAATGAAATTACAATGAGTTAAAATAATATATTCTGTAAAAGTAAAAAAACAAATAAAAACACTGACATTTTACATTTGAATTGATCATTGACGTTTTTCTTAAAATAATTAATTCCATGGATATTAACCTTATTTGCATATTTTTATTACAAATAAAATTTTGGAAAAATTTGAAAAGATATAACCAAACAAAAATATAAAAATAAATATATCTCATGTGCAAAATTTATTTTTCACTGGCCAGTGCTGTGTAACAATTCAGTGATAAACGATAACGGATACGAAATAATTTGTGTGGGCGTAAATCTGCGAGCTGTTCGCCAGCGTCTCACACTAATCACGCAGTTTCCTACTATGAAGTGCACCTCGATTTTACTTCCACTCGCTTTAAATTTTTTCCTGGTCATCAACGCCTCCGATAGAAATAATTGCAGTTCCGATCCATTTGCCACAGACGAGCGGCGTCTCAGGAGCAAACTGCTGGGCAACTATGACCCTCAGGTCATCCCTTTGAACCCTCCCAACGTGACCAGAGTCACTGCCAGCTTGAATCTCGACCTCAAACACATTTTGATCGTAGATATTTTATTGTTTTGCTTTCAATCCATTAATTTCAATTGTCGCTAATTTAAATTTATTCAGAATGACGGAACAAGCACAATCACTGTCACGGCCTGGGTTACAACCGTATTATTATTCTTTTTCAAGTTTTTAAAATTTTATATTTATTTTTATTATTGCTAGATGTGGAATGACGGCCAGTTGGTTTGGAATAAAACTGATTATGGAGATCTTGAGCGAATTGTCGTTTCGAGCAAAAATATTTGGACTCCAGATTTGTCCATCTATAAGCAAGTTCTACTTTTATTACATAGTTAATAAATAATTCAGTTTTTGTTCTCTGTACCAAAAAAAAAATATATATATATATATATATATATATTATTTTAGTTTTTTAGATTCATACATTATGAACAAAGCTCAAAGGAAATTTAATTTCAATAAATAGTTTTCCAAAAAATTAAGATGGATTTTTTGTTTAATAATTGATTTGCAGCTCTGACATGAAGCAAATGCACCTTTTTCACGACGCAACAAGCTGCATGGTGATTGACGCGGGCATCGTCGCTTGCGTCGCAAATCTCAACTCGCCAATCTATTGCCGCGCAGATTTGCAGCGATGGCCATACGATTCGCAAACCTGCCAGCTGGAAATCGGCTCCTGGGCCTACACCGGAGACCAATTGCACATTGAGAAAGCTACTGAGGAGGTACATAGAAAAAAATTAAATTAAAAAAAAACTGCAAAAAAAAATTTTATTTGTTTTAATTTTAGTCAATTTTATTAGTGTAAAATGAGCAAGTCCTTAAAAAAATTATATTAAATTTAAAATATCTGCCCCAACTTTTTTTCTTCAAATTGCTTTTTCTGTTTTCCTTAGTCAGCTCATGAAATAAGGTTGCAGACTGATTGAGAGACGGAAACTAGTGGAGCTAATTTTATTTAAAAACGAATATTATTCAGGAATAACAAAAAATGTTATATTTTTTTTTCTTATTTGAATCAATTACATAATTGGAAATATTCTATAAAGGGTTACAGCTCTGTCCAAGGAATCTACTTTGAAAACAATCAATGGGCCCTTCGGAAAATCACTGCTAGAAACATGAACGACTGCTGCTCAAACAACACGCATCCTTTCGTCAAATGGAACTTCGAAGTTCAGAGGCACGCAGGCCTCTTTGAAGCCACTTACGTTGCACCGGCATTTTGTAAATAACACATTAATAACGCTTCTTTTGTTACCAATAAATAAATCTAGTCTTTGCAGGCTGCACCCTAATGAGTTTCTGGGTTAAAACTCTCGCGACCAGAATCCTTTTGTGCTGTGCTTCGCTTGTGTGCAACACTTTAATTTTGACCAGTCTCGTCGGTCAAATTCACGCCTCGGGCGATGATCGACCAAACATCGGTTTGAAAATTTTTATAAATTTCTTTTGCCATCCTTTAATTTGCAATCTTAGTTTTAGCGTACAGAGACTCATTGGCTTTAACGTTGATCAGTTTGGTGTTTTCTGTTGCGATGCCTTGGTTGCAAGGAGCGGACAGTCCGTACCTGCTGACGAAACTGGTGGATTTGGTAAAAACTAGAGGGGGACGACCGGGTTTAATGCTTTTGGGCTCAGATTTGGAAAGTGGATCCACGGAGGAACTTGACGACGGCCAAAATGAAAGGGTGAATTTATTCAATTATAAATTTTTGAAAAAAGAATTAAATGGAAGGTTTTAGGTTGCAAGCGGGCCCAAGTGCGTGGTTTTCACGACTTTCCTGGACAGAGCAGCTTTTTTCATTTTACTTGTTATATACAGCTTGATGTTGTTTGCTTTACTTCCGTAGCCAATGTTAATTTATGGCGAAATAAATGATAAATGTGTGACAACGGAAACGTTTGTTTTGGTTATAAGTTACATAATATAAAAAAAGGAAAATATTCAGGAGGAAATATATTATTTTTTAAAGTTGTTAACGAAAAGTTAATTTAAAATAAAACAAAACGAATGCACAAAAAGTTGAAGGAACGGCTCTTATCTTATTTGTAAGTATTTGTCCGACTCATTTTATTTGCAGTGCGGCAAGTAGTCGGGCGCTGCATTTATTGCCTCTTGGTAGGTAATGGAGCGTTCAATATTTGCTTTTTTCCTCCCAACCAATTGTTTGTTCAATATGACTGTTCGACTAGTTTTGGGACAATGAATATTAAAGAAGTGTAGTGCGCTAATAAACGCGAGCACTCCCACTCTTATAGTGGAGGCACAATATTAAAGCGTCGGCCGTGGCACACTGACACGCCACGCGCAGTTGTCCTGTAGAAATGGGTCTAGCAACACTCATTGTGATCGGCTGCATCGCGGCTCTGGGGGCAACCGACGGGCCCTCGAGGGGCAACGTGTGGCCCAAGCCTAGGAGCGTTGTCAAGTTTCACAACGACGGCTTTGTCATCGTGTCTCCGAACTCTTTCCGCTTCAATGTGAGCTCAAAAATAATTTATTTTTAAGTTTTTTTTTATTTTGACATTTAAAGTCGTTGTTAAAAAAGAATTGAAATAAGAAAGGTCAGTGACCTCCAGGTGAAAGACCACCGAGTCAAATGAATTAAATATGCAAATGGCGAATGAAAAATTTTATGCAAATTAAGCGCAAAGCCGCTGTGTTGTGTTGAGGCAAACAAAGAGCATGCAGTCGCACAACTCACCCACCCACCCACGCATCAATGAAATGCCGTTACGTCTGCACGAGAATTGATAAAAAAAATTTGATCCCAATGTCAATGAAGAAAGAATAAAATATTTAACATTTTTCTATTTATTGCGCCCATTTATAATGTTGATAAAAAAAATTTGATCCCAATGTCAATGAAGAAAGAATAAAATATTTAACATTTTTCTATTTATTGCGCCCATTTATAATGTTTTTTCCAATTTATTTCAAAAGGTGACGCACTACAAATGTAGTACTCTGGACGACGCCCTGGTCAGATACTACAAATTCCTAGTGCTGGAGCGCCAAGCTGGGTTCACCGAACGCATCCACTTCAGGACAAGCACCAATGACGTGCCTCTCGGCCAAGTTCACATAGACCCCAACGCAACGTACAGGGGCAAACTAGAGACTCTTGAAGTTGAACTAATGGCGCCTTGCGAGCACTATCCATACTTTGGAATGGACGAGCATTGTGAGCATTATTAATCACTCTCATTACTTAGACAATCGGGTCATCATTAAATTTGAAATGCTTGTATCACTGCGTTTCATCATTAGTCTAACATCATTTTTCGCAGGTCTTTAATTTCATTAATTTAATTCCATTGAAATTGCTTAATGCTAATATTTTGAATTGAAATAATTTCGATTTTCCAATCCTAAAAAATAATTTGTTTATATTAATTTATATTTTAAATTATGTCATCAAATTATTTAACATTATGACCAGACTGATTTTAAATTACTTTGAGCAAATTTTTAAAATCAAAAAGTATCAAAATCAATTTAGGCTGCAATTTAAGTCTAATGTAGTTCCTCAAGGCAATCTCTGCCTAAATCAAGATAAAATATCCTTCAAACTCCAAAAATTAAAAACGAAAAAATTACAATTTTATTATTTTTGTGAACTTATTTTACAAATAAAAATTCATCTAATTTGTTATGTAAAATTTAATTTTAGTAATATTATTTATTATTCTCGTTTGATAAAATATTTAAGTAAATGCGACCCAAATTTTAATGATATGATAAGAAATGCTTTACCATTTTTTTTTTTAAATTTTTTAAAAGACGAGCTACGGATTGACAGTCCAGACCTTCCTTACGCTGCAAAACTCGTGAGCCACTCGATTTGGGGCATTTTAAGAGGCCTCGAGACTTTTGTGCAACTTGCGGCGCCTTCAGCCGACGGAACTGCGGTATTTTACTTTGAAATTTATGTTCATTTGCATTTATATATATGTATTTGAATTGCTTGTAGTTGCACATGAGCAGCTGCATGATCTCCGACTACCCGCGCTTCTCTCACCGCGGCCTTTTGATTGATACGGCAAGGCATTTCATACCATTGGAAACGCTGTACACGCTGGTCGACGGCATGGAGGCGAGCAAGTTAAACACCTTCCACTGGCACATTGTCGACGACCAGTCGTTTCCTTATCAGAGCTCGACCTTTCCTGAACTCAGGTGCGTAGCAACTGAAAAGATATAAAAAAAACAACGCTTTCACCTCATTTAATTTATTTTGAATTTCAGTGATAAAGGAGCATACAACCCACTTTCGCACGTGTACACTCAAAATAATGTGAAGGCACTTATTGAGTACTGCAGAATTAGAGGCATCAGGGTAATTGCTGAATTCGACACTCCTGGTGAAAATAATTTTACAATTTTTTTTCTAATTAATTTTTATGAAAAATTTAAAGGGCACACTCGCTCCTGGGGGGATTCGCATCCTGAGCTGCTTACTGTTTGCTACGATGAGACTGGTAAACCAAAGCCAATACTGGGACCGATGGACCCAACGAAAGAATCCACCTACAAATTCATAGATAAGTTTTTCGCTGAACTAGCGGAAGTATTCCCTGACAAATACATGCACGTCGGAGGAGACGAAGTAATTAAAGATTGCTGGTAATTTTTAAGAATTTTTAAAAGGCTTATTTATATTAAATAATTTTTGGTAGGAAGAGCAATCCAGACATCACAAAGTACATGAAGATGCACAATTTCACTGGTTACAACCAATTGGAATCGTTTTACGTTGACAAAGCAGTTCAAACTATTTACGCTTTAAACAAGAGCACGATTGTTTGGCAGGAAGTGTTTGACAATGGCGGCACTCGTCTTGACCGAAACACGGTTGTGCACATTTGGAAAGGAAATTATCCTGAAGAACTCAGAAAGGTAATTTTATTTCAAAATGATTATTATCATTGTGTTCAAATTCTAGCACGTGTATTAAGTTCTGTAAATTTTTACAAAAAAAAAAAAATAGTAAACGCTTATTTTTTATAATGATATTTTGTACCAAATATTGAATTGTAATTCCGAGTAAACAGCAATTTTTGATGAAATATTATTTTATAATTAAATTATAAGTAAAAATTTAAAACAATTTAGTTTTTTAAGGTTTCTTGATTATAGCTTAATAAAAATTAATCATCCTACACTGATTTCGGCAGATCACAGCAGCCAATTACATGACATTGCTTTCATCATGCTGGTACCTGGACCACTTGGGGGTTGATTGGAAGGTCATGTACAAATGCGACCCCCAAAACTTCGAAGGTACGCCAAAGCAGAAGAGACTGGTGCTCGGAGGCGAGGCGTGTATGTGGTCTGAGGTCGTCGACTTCACAAATGTGATTCCGCGAGTTTTCCCGAGAGCGAGTGCGGCGGCCGAAAGGCTGTGGAGCGACCAAACAGTGAAAGACATTGCAGACGCCTCCAACAGACTGGACGAGTTCAGGTGCCGCCTGGTCAGAAGAGGGATCCACGCAGAACCCTCCAGAGGCCCGGGATACTGTCCTGGCGAAATTTTTTAGACTTTATCAAATTTGATATGTTTGATTGAATCATCAAAGCGCAAAATTATTGTAAAATTGTGCTACTGGAGTTTTTTCAAAAGATTTTTAATTTCATCAAAAACATGAGACAATCTGCTACTGTTCAATTTGTATGAACAAAATTGAATAAAAATCTTTAATTCAGAAATACCAGAAATAAATAAAAAAATTAAGAAAATACAGTTTCTGTTGGAATTCTGTTTTTCTATTAACTCAATGGGTGATTTGACTCGTTTATAGCTTCGTAGAAAAAACAATAGCCTGTGAATATCTACAAAGCAATAAACAACTCACCCAGCGAGGTAAAACCAATCGTTAATTTTAATTAAACACCATTAATTAAACATTGATCTTAAAATTATTGTTCTATAAAAATAGTAAGCTACTATTATATTTTATAAAATATCATGATGTCTTTTATAGACATCGACGATCAAAGTGTCATAGTTTTTTATTTTCATATCATATGTGTGTGTGTTTTTATACCTTTGCAGAACAAAGGAATATTAACAATTAAGAATGCGTGCCATGTTAATCTGACGAGAATTTAATTAAACATGTTGTATTTCTTATCACTTAATTTTATCAGCAGCTTCTGTCTAAACATGCCAACTTTCAAAGAATTTTTCAATCAAAACGCTATTAGTCTCGAGAAAATGAAGAACATTTATATGTTTTTTCTAATAACGATTTCATCGATCGTTAAATTATGCTACGTTCAATCGTCAACATCCGGATGGAGCTCAACAGTGAGACCGTCAAGGGGCGGAATTTGGCCCAAACCAAAGCACGTTGTGAGTTATCACGATCACGGCTACATGCTCCTCAGAACAGACTTTTTCCGATTTAAAGTGAGAAGTAGTTTCAAATTAATTTCAAGGAGATAATGATTTCTTATCGCAGACAGTTCAATACTCGTGTGACATTTTGGAGGAAGCCTTGCAAAGGTACTTCCGGTACCTGGTATTAGAACGAGTTGAGTCGAAAATTAAGGGATCAAACTTTTCTGAACCCAGAGGCTACTTGGACGTTTTGGAAGTCGTACTTATGGTGCCTTGCGAGGAGACCCCGTATTTGGTAATGGACGAACATTGTGAGTAAATATAAAAAAAAAAAAAACAGAGATTGCAACAGACTTTACTGCTATTTTTGATTAAAAAAAAAACTGATAAAAGGGGTGTATGATAAGAAAAGAAGTTGTTTGTTTGTACCATAAAATCCAATTGAACGATAATTACAGCGACATATTTACTTTGAAAATTTACTGTTTTTTATTACATTATTAAATTATTTTTTTCAAGATGAATTAAGAATTGACAGTCCTGATGTTCCCTATGGAGGAAAGTTAATTTCCCATTCTGTTTGGGGCATTTTACGCGGATTAGAGACTTTTTCCCAACTCGCGGCGCCCTCGTTGGACGGTTCAGCAGTATGACTTTATTACTATTATTTTTTTTTTAAATTAATGTACATATCAATTGCTTTAAAGCTCCATTTAAATAGCTGCCTGATTTCCGATTTTCCTCGATTTCCGCACCGCGGGCTCATGATTGACACATCTCGGCACTTCCTGCCGCTGCCAACAATATTCAAATTAATCGACGGAATGGAAGCCAGCAAACTCAACACCCTCCACTGGCACATTGTCGACGATCAGTCTTTCCCTTATCGGAGCAGTCGTTTCACAAAACTGAGGTTGTACAAAAAATAAAATATATTTATATTTGCCTCTTATTGAATAAAAATTGCAGCGATTTTGGTGCATACAACCCTTTGACACACGTCTATTCCAAAAATAATGTCAAAAGAGTGATTGATTATTCGCGGAGCCGCGGAATTAGAGTAATTGCCGAATTTAATTCTCCAGGTATAAGCAAAAGTGTTCTACGTAACAACAAGAAAAAGTGAGAGATAAAATTTGAATTGAAGGTCACAGCAGATCGTGGGGAAAAGCGTATCCTGAATTGCTGACTGAGTGCTTTGGTGATAATGGACAACCGGATGGCACATTAGGACCAATGAACCCTATACATAATTTCACTTATCAGTTGATGGATGGAATTTTAACCGAAGTGGCGGAGCTATTTCCTGACGCTTATATCCACCTTGGTGGAAGTGAAGTTAAAACAGATTGCTGGTAAAAAAAATTTAAAAGACTATGACATACGAATATTTTTTTCTAATATTTCAATAATAGGGAAAGCAACCCTGAAATAAGAGATTTCTTGAACCTTAATGGCATACCTGGAGAGTTTGTAAAATTGGAAGGAATTTTCATGGACAACCTTAATGAAATAATTCAAAATTTGACAAAAAATCCTTTGGTTTGGCAGGAAATATTTGACAATAAAGCTGCTAAAATCAGCCCGGAAACAATAATTCACGTCTGGAAAAATGATTTCATTTCTGAAATGCAAAAAGTAAGCCAATTAATTTTTTTACGTGATTAAATTAAAAATTTTCAGCTTAAAATTTAGTTATGAATTAAAAATTTAATTTAATCATTAAAAGGTTACAGCAGAAGGCCACTTTGCAGTTCTTTCGTCCTGTTGGCATTTGGACAACCTGAGCTCAGGTGGCGACTGGGAAGACTTTTACAAGTGCGAGCCTCTCGACTTTGAAGGGACGAGCGAACAAAAACGATTGGTAATTGGAGGCGAAGCGTGCATGTGGGGAGAATTTGTGGACACCAACAATGTAATTCAGAGGGTTTTCCCGAGGGCGAGTGCGGCGGCCGAGAGACTTTGGAGCGACCCTTCAATCATTGATCTTGAAAACGCGTATGCGAGATTAGAAGAATTTCGGTGTCGCTTGGTTCGGCGAGGAGTACACGCACAGCCGCCAAATGGGCCTGGTTATTGTCCAGGAGAATTTATTTTTGATTAATTGACTTTTCAATAAATGGCTTAAATTAATCTCGGAGGGTTTAAATCCACTTTAAAGAAGGGTTTATATATAATTTTATCAATATCAAAAGATAATATTTTTAGGTGCGTCGCTTATCTTTTGAGAAACTATATAAAAGATTTAATAACTCTTTCACGTTTGTAACCGATCGTCGCAATGAGGGCGTTAACTGTTGTATTTCTGGTGGCAATTGCTGTTGGGGTTGGTGCTCAGGATGAGCCACAGACCAGGGGAATCGGCAAGGAATGGGGTCCGTGGGTCTGGCCGACCAGGGGCGAAGTTTGGCCCAAACCAAGGAGCATCGTCAACTACCACAACCAGGGCTATATGGCGGTCAGGACCAACATTTTCCGATTTAACGTAAGAAAAAATTATTAAAAAAAAAAATCAAACTTTAATTGATTTTAAACAATAAGATTGTAAGCAACACTTGTGATATTCTGGACGACGCACTTTTGAGGTACTACAGGTACCTGGTGCTGGAGCGCGAGGCCGCTTGGACGGCACGTGCTTATGACAGAATCAAGTCAAACAAAATCATGACTGGTGAGGATCCAATCGATCCTAGAGCTACTTTCAGAGGAAATTTGGACGCACTTGATATTGAACTGGCCAACCCTTGCGAAGTTCTGCCCTACCAGGGAATGGATGAGAGCTGTAAAATTTATAAATTTAAATTCTGATAAATTTTCTGAGGCAGTTAAAAAAAAAATATAAAAAAAAATAGCGATCGTAAATTTAAAAACCAACATATCCAGTTTTACATAATCTTTCCGATTTCTTTATCTCATGGAAACGCACTAATTGCTTTTGATAGACGAGCTGAAAATCGACACGCCTGACTTGCCTTTCGCCGGACGATTGATTAGCCAAACGATTTGGGGTATTTTGAGGGGCTTGGAGACTTTCGTCCAATTGGCAGCGCCATCCCAAGATGGATCAGCGGTATTGAATCAATGAAGACGAAACTAAATAAAATCCTAATTATGACAAAATAGCTGCACATGAATTGCACGCATATTACCGACTACCCCCGTTTCCCGTACCGCGGCTTGATGATCGACTCTGTGCGCCACTTTTTGCCAATGCCCACCATGTACAAACTGATCGACGGCATGGAGGCTAGCAAACTCAACACCATGCACTGGCATCTCGTCGACGACCAGGCCTTCCCCTACCAAAGCAAACTTTACCCTGAGCTCAGGTAGATAATCTGATAATGCAGAAAATTAAAATAAAATCCAATATTTTTGTTATAAAATATATAAAGTATTTAACTTTTAGTGAGAAGGGTGCGTACAACCCCTTTTCGCACGTCTACACACAGAACGACGTAAAGGCTGTGATCGAGTACTGCCGCCTGAGAGGAATCCGCGTCATTCCCGAGTTCGACTCGCCAGGACACACCAGGGCGTGGGGAAATTCGCACCCCGAGCTGCTGGCCACGTGCTACGGATCGGATGGACAGCCCGACGGAAGTCTTGGACCTTTGGACCCTTCCAAGGAAACCACCTTCCAGTTTGTCAACAACCTCTTCAGCGAGGTATCCCAACTCTTTCCCGAGAGGTATTTCCACCTTGGAGGAGACGAGGTCAACTACACCTGCTGGTATTAACAATATTTCCGAACTTTTTGTTAAAAAAATGATTATTCTCATTTTTTTTTAAAGGGCGAGCAACACTGATATTAACGACTACATGGCCTCCATTGGCATTGCTGGAGACTACGCTAAACTTGAGGGCGTTTATGTAGACAGGGCAATCGAAATAGTCCGCAACCTGAATTTGAAGCCCATGGTGTGGCAGGAGGTTTTTGACAACGGTGGATCTTCCATCGATAGTGAAACAGTCGTGCACGTTTAGAAAGTTGGCGATTTCCTGGGTGAACTCGCCAATGTAACACTTGTGTAGTTATATTTATGTGAGTTAAAAAAAATTATTGTTATAGGTCACGTCAGCTGGCCACGTCGCTCTTTTGTCCTCCTGCTGGTACTTGGACCACCTGAAGACTGGTGGAAACTGGAAGGAGTTGTACAACTGCGAGCCTCACGATTTCCCTGGCACCACCGAACAGAAGAATTTGGTGCTTGGTGGAGAGGCGTGCATGTGGTCCGAGTATGTGGACTACAACACAGTCGAGACCAGGGTGTACCCAAGGGCAAGTGCCATGGCCGAGCGTTTGTGGAGCGACGTGACTCAGACAGACAACGCGGAGGCTGCGAGGAGACTCGAAGAGTTCAGGTGCAGGCTGGTGCGCAGGGGCATCAGGGCTCAGCCAGCCAACGGGCCCGGCTACTGTCCTGGAGAGGTCTTTTGATGATTCAATTACAAATAGAGAACAAACTTAATTACAAAAAAATTGGTTTTCATTATTTCTCCAAACCTTGATTTGGTTTGGTTATTGAGAAAATAACCATAATAGATCTTCAATAATACATTTATTAATTAAAAATATACATTCCTGAGCATCAAATCCACCCGTACTGCTAGTGATCAGAATTTAGGTTCAATCCTTGCCTTGAGGATTCGAGGGGAAAGAAGGAATCCTTCCTCGCAACATCAAAGCAAACAATCTACAATGCACTTAATCGCGGGCCTCGCAGACCCACAATTAACACAGAAATGCCCATTTTTAACATGTGTGTGTGTGTGTCTCTATGTGTGTGTTTGTTGACAAAAATTTCTTTCTCGCTACGTAGATAATTGAATATAGTATGTATGCATCCATAATTTTATAAATTCCATGCCTAGGCTACTAAAAAATCAATAATAGTTGTACTTGTATCAAAGAGGAGTCAGTTGTTTGCTGGCTTGACAAAGTGTAGTGGTTTAATTCATGTGCTTGGAAGAACACGAGGGTTTTGCTAAGTCTGCCTTGGTACAAGTACAAAGAGTGCTTCCTGGTTGCGCCTATTGATTTTTGTTTCGTAATAATTATTACTGGAGTAATTACACACGTAGTTTGTATATTATAGAATAGCTGACAGAAACAAACTGCTTACTTTCGACTTGTCAGCTGAAAATATATAAAAATTTGTTCCCTCATCTTGGTAAGGAATCATAGATTAATTACTATTATCATTATGTATGTATTTATGTATGTCTCTCATAAAATATAAATCAAGTGGGTACAACAGATATCTTTCTTTCTCATTGTGTGCTCCAAGGTGTGTTCACTGTTGGGCACACAATAAACTCAAAAAATCAACAATATGTATGTATAACAGTGCTTTGGGTTGTTTCTATATCTTTGGCTGCCGCTTCAATAAGCCTCTGTTGCTCTTTACACCAAGAGCAAACCCGTGTGTCGAATGTGTTTTACTCGGGGGCAGCCGCGAACACGTGAAAATTTGTTTGGCATTGATCAAAATAATTTGAGAAGGGGCGAGCAAGCAGCTGTGAAAATAGTACAAATCGAACAACATGTCTTACGTAGCTAGCAGTTGGTTAGTGTAATTGTTTAGATTTACGATACTTGCAGTAATTTTTTCCATTAGAGCTCATGTATGTGTATTAATGCATCTGATAGAACAAGACAAGAAACTAGACGGACCTTATTATCTTCTCCCCTTCTTGGCAAAAATAGTGTTTTCCTCCTCTTGTGGTACAGAGTAAAAAATTGATGCTCTCGTCGCTGCTATTTTCACTAAGCGCAGTCAGTCCGTGAATCATTCTAGCAGTCATTAATTGTAAGGCACTCCGTGGGCACATTACAAATTACATGGCAGGATGAGAAGCCAAATTTTTCGAACCGGAAGGGCCCAACCAAAATTCGCGTTGGGCCACCGATTTCTGCTCTAATGGTATAATAAGCGTACAAATACAACTCTTTTATCAAACAACCGAGGCTCTTTCTCGGAAGTGCCTCTCAACTGGTAAAATAAAGTAGCACCTTATCGTTATTAAATCCACTAACTAAACTAATGAAACTTACATCCTAGCATAGATTGTTTTTCCTTCTATCTCTTTCTTGACTTTTATCACCGAATGAATCGGAGTTTCAAGTCAACTCAATAATAATTGCGAATGGTGGTGACAATGATTAGTTTGATATTCTTCTGTCAGTTGCTGTTTGTGTTGATTTCCCTGCCAAGAGTCGCTGTGTTTTTGTTTCAGGTAGATCTTATTTGGCATTGAGAGATGATTTTGATGGATGATGCTGGGGCAGAGATCTTGCTTGCCAACCTTGAATTTGAAATTTTTCCCAATCACGAACGTGAAAAACTTAACTACATAGAAGAAGCAAGTTATTAAGGGGCAACACTCACTTAGTCTTTTAAGCTTTGGCCACTGGCCTCTGTTGCTGCTGGCCCTTGTTGGGGTACTTGCGGTAGCCGCCGCCACCTCCGCCAACTTGGCCGCTGCCGGGACCTCCGTACGAGTTGCCACCACCCTGGTGGCCATAGCCGTTGCCGTAGAAGTGCATGTTAGGGTAGTGACCCCCTCTGCCCATCGGCGCAGGGTACATGTACCCTCCTCGGCCACCACCAGGCATCATGTTGTCATACGCCTGGCCATAGTAGGGAGGCATGGCGCCTTGAGGATAGGCACCGTAATCTATTCCAACAAAAATTAAACAGAATGAATTAGTTCCAGAATACACGCAGACTAGGTTCGCGCATCAAACATTCAAATCAATTTCGATCTTTCCAAAGCGTTCTGATTGGGTGTAATTTTACATGTACCTTATCATACGAGCTGAAACAACAATCAAATTAAGATTTCATTGTTGCAATGGGCGAACCTTGCTCAGTAAAAATAATTTAATAATTCTACAATTTGTTAGCCAAATTTCCCTTTATTAGTTTTTTTGCGGGCGTGTATGATATAAATAGATTGATCGAATACTTTCTGATACTTACGGGGCATCATTCTCTTTTGAGGACCATTTTCAACATCCCTGAGGGATTTCTTTGTGTTGAGGGTAAGTCCGTTGAGCTCGTGCTTTGTGGAGACTAGAAGAATAAAATTAATACCAAGGTTGGGTATAAAGATAGAGAAACTTACAAACAATTTTATCCACAGCATCAGAGTCGTCAAAGTAGACAAAGCAATAAGGTCTCTTGGTGTTGGTCTCCTTGTTAATCGACCAGTAGATTTTCTCAATGTTTCCAAACTGCTTGAAATAGTCTTTGATCGAGTCTTCTGTCACCGCATCGTCTTTCAGTCCTCCTACATACAAAGTCTTTGTCGTTGAAGCAATATCAGGTGATTGTTGCAGCTGAAATTTATTTATTTATTATTTATAAAGTCATTTAGGAGTGTGCAGGATTAAAAACTTACTCCTTTGGGAATTGACCTCTTGGTGGTAATCTGTTTTGATTCCATCTGGTGCGGTCTCGCTGCTTGTGCTGCATCGACATTTTCCTTGTTGGCAAATGTAATGAACCCAAATCGACGCGACCTTTGAATTGATGATTGTTAAAAAACGAAAATTGCTTAAAATTTCAATTCTTACTCTTTGGTTCCTGGATCACGGGCAATAGAGGCCTCAGTTACTTGTCCAAATTTGGAGAAGTAGTCTCGGAGATTCTCTTCATTGGTCGAGGCAGGCAAGCTGGCAATAAAAAGCTTGCAGGCTGCCTCTTCGATCGCCTCTGGAGAGATGGGCGCATTTTGTCTCTGGTCACGAGGGGATTTTCGGTAACCTTGCTGTCCTTGGTTTGGAGCCGCTGCCATTGTGTATGTGTTTTGTACTCTAGAATGAACACAGAAAAGAGAAATTTTTAAAATTGTTGGTGGCGTATGCTGAAAACAAATCATTTTTACATGAAGCAGTACGGATTCATTTCAAATCATTATGTTGATAATGCAATTTGCAGGAAAAGATGGTCGCTGCATATTTTTGTATTGCAAATCTTACAAGTTTGACCACTCAGCTAACTCAATTAAAAAGTTAAACTGATCAAGGGAGTGGTCAGTGTGACTTTGCATGCGATAGTTGCACAAGACCAACAAAAATAGACCGATTGCAGTACATAATTATGTACGTGCAACATGGGCTATGTACATAGAGGACAGTGGGGCGGATGCACTCGTTCAAGCTCGGCTGCTTGTGACCGACCATGCGGCCCAAAAAGCGACCTCCAAACTGCTCTAATTACGGCCAAACCGATAATGAGTGATTGAGTTTCAAGCAACTTCAGTTGTAAAAGACTTCAACGCCTCAGAAATCCCAAAATGACGACAAATTAGAGCAGTCTGACCATTTTAAAGTGCGATTATCGCGAAAATGTGCTCGTGCAGCGTGCGCTGGGTCAAAGTTTTGCACTCTAATCGAAGCTTTTGCCTTGGCTAATCTCTAAAAATTGCATTCCAGGAGTATCTTAATTCTCACCAAAATCAACGGTGGTTAGTTTTTGGCACGAAAATCACTGTTTTTCCGGGAAATTTCTAGTTTCACAGCAACGATCACGCCGGTTCCCCCTGAATGATGTGCGATGTGGATATGGAGTGCCAACTTGATGGATAACACTTTTGAGAAAAACATCCATTTTCCCCCCTTCCCTGTGACCGATGAGCTTTATTCAGTTGGCAATATTGATTTTATTCTATGGATGGTGAATCTTTGTTGATCATTAACATGTGCCGGGTGTAAATTCTCACAAATTTATTGAATTTGAATTTATGGTAATTAAAAATAATAGATCTATTTTTATTTTTGTGCATTTTACATCGTCATTTTAATTTTTTATGTAATTTTTCAGCTCATCTCTAATCTAATACCTCTGAAAATTACATAACCGACTTAACCGAGATTGAAAAATAATGTCGGAGGACGTCAAAGCTTTTTTGTATGGCTGGTGTGGGAAACGCAAAACCACGCCAGAATATGACATTCGACCCACTGGTACGTAATTTAATACTAAACAAAAATATTCACTATTTTCAGACATGCCAATAAAAATTGAATTCTTAAATTTCAAATCCTGTTACCAGGGCCGAAACACAGGCAACGATTTCTTTGTGAGGTCCGAGTCAGCGGCTTTGATTATGTAGGCGTTGGAAACTCTGGTAACAAGAAGGACTCGCAAGCTAATGCTGCCAATGATTTTGTCCAATTTTTGATTCGCCAAGGACACTTAAACTCGGCAGATGTTCCTGAAGGGGTTGGTTTCTGCTGTTCATAATTTTTTCTTGTCTTTAATCATACTCTTTTTAATCAGACTTTGAGCGGCCCTGCTCCTGCTCCTCCGCCAGGCCCAATGGGCATGGGTGGTGGAAGCTACAACAAGCCTGTTTTCCAAGAGGGGATGGGCCCCAATGATTTAGGAGAGGCCTACAGACCCATCAAACGTGAAAGAGGAGGGTTTAATTTTGAAGCCCAAAGAGAGGCAGAGGCCAAAAGCATGGCGGAAGCGGAGGACGTGGATATCAACGCTTCCATTCACGGAAACTGGACCGTTGAGAACGCAAAGTCCAAGCTGCATCAATACATGCAAATGAACAGGATTCAGGCTGATTATAAATACAGACCAGTTGGTCCTGATCACAACAGGTTCCAAATTTGAATCAATTACCATAATTTATGTTTATAATAATTTATAAAAGTAATTCTATTAGATGATCATGAGCAGAAAATAAAATTAAATGTCAAATATATCAGCAATAGGCAAAGTGAGAATTTCACTCTGACTTTTACTGTGCAAAAAAATGCTGATTATGCTGGAAAAGTTAAAATTTCCACTTTTCTTGCATAAGTACACTCAATCCAACATGAAAATGTAGAAAAACGCTGAAATTTTGTAGCAAGTCAAAAAAATAAAAACTTATAATTTCTGCGTTTCTCTACAGGGTTGTGAGAACCTGATAAGAAATGGTTTCTACGTACTGTCAGCTCATGTTCATCTCAATAGGCTCTATTTAAAAAGTAACAAAAGTTATTTGCGGTTTTACTTAACACGTGTTAATTACATGTTTTTTCCCCCCAATATGATAGGAGCTTTCTTGCAGAGATGGGATTTTTCGTAAAGGAACTTGGACGGCGTATGTTTAATAATCGTTTTCTTTGTCTTCAACTAAAAATATTTAATTTATTTTATCTAGCAATTAGTGCACATGAAACTGGATCTACCAAGCAGACTGCTTCCAAGAGTTGCGCTCTATCCTTGGTCAGGCAACTTTTCCATCTGGGTGTCATCGAGCCATTTAGTGGCACTCTAAAGAAAAACAGAGATGCTGAACAAATGAAGCCATTCCCAGTTGCTTTGGCCCCGGAGTTGGAAAGCCAGATTATGGACACCCTGAATGACCTGGGCATCACTCCGATACCAATTGTAAGTATGAAATTAATTAAAACAAGGAGAGGAGCAGCAACTCCAGCTGTTAAACTGACTCATGGTATTGATATTGAAAGTGTGGATTGGACAAACCAGAGTGGTGCCGGCACAGAAATTAACATTGATTCTTATGGGGCATAGAAATCTGTTGTCCAATCCACCTTCTAATATCTATATGCAACGCCTACAATATTCATTGCATTGCCGTCCCTACAAGAATTTTTTTAAAATTTAAGTCTGTAATACAGTTCATTGTTGATTTTGTGGAATATTTTTCTTTTATTGTTATTATTAAAACAAAACAAAAATAGTAATGAAACAATATTCTAAAATAATCTTAAAATTATTGATAAAAATGTTGAAAAATTAAATCTTCTTACCTTTTTAATCAAAAAAATTTTTGTTATATTTTTTACATAATTTTTACTATTTTTTTTTTTAATTTTGCACTGATTGCTTATATAGACTACCATTATCTTTATGTGCTCTGTTTGGGTAAACAAGATGTGATTACATACCCTGGTCACTATGTACCAAGGCAATTTAGTAGTAACATTAATTCCTTTTAATAATTTATTTATTTTTTTTAATTTCACATGAACCCCTTGTGAAGTAAAGGGGCTTCCAAAAATTGCACCTCACAGAAGTGGATGCGGGGTTAATTTGTATGGTGTCAGCAAATATGCCCTCACTAACCGTTCACTGGACATTTAGCTCCCCATGACAAGGAAGGGTTATATCTGGGGTTGATAAATTGTGTACTATTTGCGAACCATAATGTAATACGTCTAGGTCTGTTCTGAATTATGATTACCTTTATTTTACAATTTAAAATTAAAAAACTTCAAACATGAACAAACTTGCACTTAAATTTTTAAATTATATTGAAATGATCAATTTGCCAATGAAAGATTGGAATTATTTTCCTTTGTGGTTTTTGGTCCAAATTTTTTGGTCAAGTTTTTAAGTGACATCTAGTGGCCAAATCAGGAACTTAAGTTCTATAACCATGTGAAATTTTTTAATAATGCAAATTAGTAAACTTAATAATACTTTACAGCCTGAGCAAATAGAGGCACCAGTGTCCCTTGTAGCTGCTCAACACATTGATGACTTTGTTCAGCCATCTAAATCGCAGCCATCTGGAGTGGTGTCATGGTCACCACCCACTTCAAATTGGAATGCTTGGACTGGATGCAACTTTGAAGAAGGAGACCACTTTTTAAATGTACAAAATTATTTTGAATAATATTCCATTTGATTGCGATTTGATTAATTTGTGAATTACGTTATAAACACTCCTGTTGTCATTAATAGGCTGATCTGGAGCAAGTTAGTGAAGATCTGCTCCGAGCTCACCGAGAGAAGGCGCAATCCGACCCTGACTACCAAAGTCGCTCTAAGGACCGTGAAACCCTCCCTGTTGCCAACCAACGCAAACTGATCATGGAGGCCATCAATGAAAATCCTGTCATTATCATCAGAGGCAATACTGGCTGTGGCAAAACAACTCAGGTTTGCCAGTACATCCTGGACGATTATGTCCAATCGGGACAAGGCGCCTATTGCAACATTGTGGTCACCCAGCCGAGGAGGATTTCAGCTGTGTCAGTGTCTGACAGGGTTGCTTATGAGAGGAACGAACAACTTGGCATGAGCACTGGCTACAGTGTTCGGTTTGAATCTTGCCTGCCTAGACCCTATGGTGGCATTCTCTTCTGTACTGTGGGTACGGAAACATACTAAATACTAACTAAATCACGCCAAGTTAGGCATCAAATAATAATGACAGTGATTGAGTTGCTCTCACTGATCGTTGATCGTTAACATTTTTGCAAAAAGACAAAACTTAATTTTAATGCTTATAAGTTTCTGCGATGCTAAATTAATTCTGTTTTAGGTGTATTGTTGAGGAAGTTGGAAAATGGCTTGCGCGGAGTGTCTCACGTCATTGTGGATGAAATTCACGAAAGAGATGTCAATTCTGACTTCATTCTTGTGATTTTGCGTGACATGGTGCACTCTTTTCCTGACCTTCGAATCATTCTCATGTCAGCTACGATTGATACTTCACTCTTTAGCAACTACTTCAACAACTGTCCTGTAGTTGAGGTTCCTGGAAGGGCCTTCCCTGTGCAAGGTATTACATAAATTTATAATTATAAATGCAAATTATAATGGTAAAATTTTTCCACAGAGTATTTCCTGGAAGATGCTGTACGAATGCTTAATTTCGTGCCTTCGGCTGAGTCGAGGAAGAGGAGTCGAGACAAAGACAAGGAGGAGGGTGTTGGAAATGATGACGACGATGAAAATTTGAACAGGAAAATTTCCGATGATTATCCAGTCCCTGTGCGCAATGCCATGGCTCAGCTTAGTGAGAAGGAGATCAACTTTGAGCTAATTGAGAAAATCCTTGACTACATCAAAGGCCTTGCAATTCCCGGAGCAGTACTGGTCTTCTTACCAGGGTGGAACTTGATTTTCACCCTCCTGCGCCACTTGCAGCAGCACCCAGTGTACGGAGGCAACAATTATTGCATTTTGCCCCTGCACTCTCAGCTCCCTCGTGAAGATCAGCGGCGGGTCTTTGACTCTGTTCCTCCTAATGTCATGAAAGTAAGATAGCTTACCTAAATTTGCTTAAAAGATTATTTTATGCCATATTTTGCTAAAATATAGATCATTCTTGCGACAAACATTGCTGAAACTTCAATCACAATCAACGATGTTGTGTTCGTCATTGACAGTTGCAAAGCAAAAATGAAACTGTTCACTTCTCACAACAATATGACTCACTATGCCACAGTGTGGGCCTCAAAATCCAACCTTGAGCAGCGCAAAGGTCGAGCAGGACGTGTTCGACCTGGATTTTGCTTCCACCTCTGCAGCCGAGTATGATTTTTTTTTTAATTTTTCACATTCTTTTTTAAAATTTGCCATTCAAATTTGTTCCATTATGGAATAATAAATTATAATAAATATTTTATTTTAGGCAAGACATGAGAAACTTGAAGAGCACATGACGCCAGAGATGTTCAGAACACCCCTGCATGAACTGGCGCTTTCCATCAAATTGCTTCGTCTTGGAAGCATCAGCCACTTTTTGAGCAAAGCTCTAGAGCCACCACCTCTCGATGCTGTAATTGAAGCTCAAGTTCTTCTGAAAGGTATATTAATCATTTTAATAATATTTAGCACAATAATCTTACTTTAAATTTAAGAAATGAAATGCTTGGATTCCAATGACGAGTTGACTCCCCTGGGACGCATTTTGGCTAAGCTGCCAATTGAGCCTCGTCTCGGCAAGATGTTGGTGCTTGGCTGCATGTTTAAGTGCGGAGATGCACTTTTCACTATTGCAGCCAACAGCTCTACATTCCCAGAAGTATTTGCAGTTGGTAAAAATGATGATTATTTAAAACTGACTGATAAAAAATTTAATGAAGGTTTGGACCAAAGACGTCTGACCTACCAGCAGAGAGCATTTGCGGGAGTGAGGCACTCTGACCACATTGCAATGCTGAATGCATTTTACTGCTGGGAAGACGCACGAATGAATGGAGAAGAAGCAGAAATGCGTTTCTGCGACTCAAAAATGCTCTCTGTTCCAACGCTGAGAGTGACCTGGGAGGCAAAGAACCAACTGCGTGACCTCATGAACAGCATTGGATTCCCTGAGGAGACAATGGTGCCTCAAGTCTACAACTACACAGGACCCGACTCGAAATTGGACATGGTGGTTGCACTCCTTAGCATGGGTCTCTATCCCAACGTATGTTGCCACAAGGACAAGCGCAAAGTCCTCACTACAGAGTCCAAGGCTGCACTCATCCACAAGACTTCTGTCAACTGCTCAAAATTTGAGCAGAACTTCCCATACCCATTCTTTGTTTTTGGTGAAAAGGTATTATTACTTAAATATACAGGCCCGTAATTGAATTTAATCATTTTCAGGTGCGCACAAGGGCTGTTTCCTGCAAACAGACTACTATGGTTAGCCCCATATACTTGCTTCTCTTTGGATCCAGGAAAGTGGAGTTTGTTGACAAAGTGATTCGTCTTGACAACTGGTAAGATTAGCATTAAATACACTTGATCAGTTTTATTGTGTGTTTTTCTAGGATTAATCTTGAGATGAAACCTGAGATAGCTGCGGCTATTGTTGCATTGAGACCGGCCCTTGAAAGTTTGGTCATGAAGGCAGCCGAAACGCCTGAAGGAGTTACAGAGCTTTCGCCTCAGGATGACAAACTGGTAAACACAATCAGAAACTTGTGCAAAGTCAATTCTGGTCGGCACGAGATGGAGCAAGTTTCAATGTCAGGGTAAGTACCTGTGAATTTTGTATCCAATTTTTGTCAATAATTTTTAATTCTGAGCAGTTTCAACTCCCGACGACCTCCACGTGGCCACTCTTTGGGCTTCGGTCAAGACGGTCCGTCTCCTCCAAAAATGATGAGAGGAGGAGGAAACTTTGAAGGTAGAGGTTCTGGAAACTTTGAAAGCAGAGGGGGTGGAAGTTTTGAGAGTCGAGGAGGAGGATTCAATGAAGGACGTGGATTTGGAGACGGGGGAAGCTTCAGAGGACGTGGAGGAGGTTATGGCGGTGGATATAGAGGAAATGGTTTTCAAGGAGGAAGGGGTGGCTTCAGAGGAGGCAGTGGCGGAGGCTTTAGAGGTGGCTTCAGAGGAGGCAGAGGTGGGGGCTTCAGAGGTAAATCATAATTAAAGTGGAGCAAAATTATAAAATTAAACTTTGTCTTATGAATTAGGAGGCTACCAAGGAGGGTATGGAAGTGGAAGCAACAGTGGTTACTAAGGATTTTTTTTAATTAGCAGATACAACATAATATGGACCTTGCGTGAATTTTCGATCTCTTGATATTTAGAATGTATATCTCAAATCAGAACTCATTTTTCTGATTTATGGTAGCAAATTAAGTAAATATTGAATTTTTGTCATTTTGCATGTGTATTTGAAAAATAAAATACCTCAGTGACTTCAGCAATAATGCGTTTTCTCAAAACTTTACACCAAAAAATACATCGAAATTTCTTGTCCCTGACTTCCTGTTTTTTTTTTTATCATTGTTCTATATACTATGATTAATAAGCACATGATTTGCTGAGTTTGCTCCTTAGTGAATCTCTATTTGCCCCCACTCTTTTTATGTCACAATTTCCGCGAATGGTTGTCGCTACAAGGGTAAAATCGGGAAGTAGGTGGTGCTGCGATCGCTGTGACGCGCACTTTCCCCGCTCAGAAACTAAAAAAAGAGGCAAGTAACAAGTAAGTGGGATTGGATCTCGTTGTCGAGCGGACATTTTCTTATCCCGGCGAGTTGTTAATTCAAGCAGTTATTGGAGTTACTCAACCCTTTGCTCGAGTCGGAAAGGTAAAATAACGCAACAATTTGATTGATTAATTTTTGTACTACATCTTGAACGTAAAAATTTTGATCTGAAACAACGGAAAATGGCAAAATTTGCTGCGGCGTCACCCGCCGAGCCCCGCTCATTGAAATCGCGTTGCAGGAAGGGCGTCCCCTTTTCGACTTGGCTGATTTTTTCGCCTAGAGTCTCTAATCGACATGTTTTGCCGCTCTTTAATTGGTTTTCATTAATTTCAGTGACCATGGCGAGTCACCAGTACTCGCTGCGGTGGAATAATTACGTGAAGCATGTGTCAACTGCCTTCGAGGCGTTGCGCTGTGACCGCGACCTCGTTGACGTCACTCTGAGCTGCGAAGGCAAGAAAATTCCTGCCCACAAAATGCTGCTCTCAGCCTGCAGTTCCTACTTCAAAAGCCTCTTCAAGGTACAAAACAATAATTTTGATTTTTAGTCTTGATTTTAAATTTTTTCCTCCCCCATTTTAGGAAAATCCTTGCCAGCACCCCGTCATCATTTTCAGAAATGTTGCATTTGACGATCTCATGGCCCTGGTGGACTTCATGTACAAAGGAGAGGTGAATGTGGAACAGGAGCAGTTGGCCTCCTTTCTGAACACGGCCGAACTCCTGGAGGTCCAAGGGCTCACAAATAGCGGCAAGGATGTCGAAAAATCCAAAACGACTGTTGAAGAGGTGCAGTTTTGAAAACTATATAGCTTGAATCAAACAAAGGTTTTTTTCTGAATTTTAGGAGAAGACTGTTAAAAATGATGATGTACAACCAGAGATAGCTGGTGTATCATTGCCATACACTGCCCCATTTAATGAATCATCACAACCCTCCCCTTCAACCTCTTCTACTACTACTCTCAGGAAGAGAAGGAGAACATCACCTGCCAGGACTGAAGATGAGTCTCAACCAAAAAGTAAATTGATTAAATTGTGTGTGTTTCAATAGGTAATGTTGTTTTTATTTCAGTTCAAGCAGTTGATGAGCCTGTGATAGCAGATATTGAGCATGTGCCTTTGAAAACAGAACCTGAGTTCGAGCACATAGAGCTCCAACCAGATGACTCTGTTGATGATGAAGACCTGGCTGCTAGTGGAATTGGACTTGAATCAAGTAGATTTTTTGGTAAAATTTAATTCAGAATATGATTAAAATTATTTGAATTGCAGGTGATATGGACAACTTTGTAATGGCTGGACCATCAAATGACAGTTTGGGAGAAGATAAAGGTAGGCACCCATCCACTTTTTTTACCAGGGTGTGTTTTATTATTCCATACAAATTGGTTGTTGCTTGATTTGTTTCAAAATTCAGATCATTTTCCCTTAAATTTGCAATGTTTTATGCCTGGAGCTTTGGATTTTTGAAGCTGATCACGGGTGTAGATTGATTTTTGCAGCCTTTCAAATCTATTTAACAACGCGTTAGGGCTTAGGTTTTGTCTTTAGGCAGGCTTAGCAGTTTGTTAGTGCTGCATTAGCAATCTGTACCTTCTGCTTTGGCTGGGGTACTAGTAATTCTCCAACTTCAGGAGTGAAACGTTGCAAAGTGCCATGTCAAAATAAAACGCACCCGTTCAATTCTTTATTAGTAGTTAGTCTGCATTGGTGGTTGGAATTAAAATGACAGAAATGGGATTAGCCCACTCGCGGGATAGGCGAAAATAATTCGCGCGACTGAAGCTTTACAACATATTTAAGATATAAAGCGTTAGGACTTAAAATGCACAACAATATTTTACAGCTCTTTTTGACATTAAAAGTTTTTTTTTAACTAAACACTACTATCTATTAAAGAATAATTTAACGGAATTTTTGAATTTTTTGAAGTTAGTGAAGTTTATTTTACCTATTATGATTCAAACGACGGTCTAGTGACAATTTCATTATTGTTCACAGAGGAAGAAATTGACAATGATGAAAAGAGCAACGAAAGTTTCTTCGTGGTAGACGTGCTAAAAGTGGTTGAAAAGAACGAATGCAGGCAAAATAAATATTGCTGTAGTGCTTGCGATCGGCGATTCTCCACTTTTTCCAATTGTGAAAGTCACTTGCGAACGCACCTAGGCAAAGCGACGTGCCCTATTTGCTTCAAAAGTTTTGTGCAAAACGGCGATATGATGAGGCACAAAGTTGCTCATGAGGGCGAAACTCAGTGCGATAAATGCAAAAAGATTTACAGCTCTAAACGATCACTGCAAAGACACATGTTGAAGTGCACAGGCGTGAAAATTCTGAAATGGAGCAGACGGAGACCTAGAAGACCTGATATTGTTTTGATTAAAAAAGAAAACATAGGCGGAGCCTGCGATGGCGAATAGATTTAAAACTTTTTTGAACCGATTTAAATTTTTAAATTCCTACTTCGCAAATAGAAAGATGTTTTAAGCTATGAGTGATTGAAAGCAGTTTCCAAAGAGACGTGCATTACTGTTCTGATCTGTTCTTGAATTTTAAACATTTTAACTGCCCTTCACTGAAGTTGACTAAAGGCCCAATTTAGAGGAACTAAAAATTAAAGGTGAGGAACTAAAAATTAAAGGTCTTTCATAATTCAAACGATGATAAGTGACGATTTCATTATATTGTTCATAGAGGAAGAGAATGAAAAGAGAACGAAAGTTAGTGCAAGTGCTTTAAGTGATTGTAAAGGGCAATAATAAGTTGAGTATTGCTGCAGTGCCTGTGACTGGAAATTCTCCACTTTTTCCGTCTGCGAAACTCACTTGCACTCGATCTGCCCTATTTGCTCCAAAGATTTTGTCCAAAACGCCGACATGATGAGACGCACAGTTGCTCATGATGGGGAGACGCAGTGCGATAAATTTAACGCTAAAATATTTGCAGCACTATATGAACTATGCAAAGACATGCTGAAGTGCACAGGCGTGAAAGTTATGAACTGCCGCAGGCGGAAACCTAAAAACCTGAAATGTTTTTGATCAAAAAATTAAAAGTAAAAAATTGTTCCCTTGAAAAGTCAGTGAGCTTCATTTACAATTTTTATTAAAATTCTAGCCTTGCAAAGAATCATCATTGGAACTGACAGTTATTTTTGTATTAATTATTTTCAGAGGGACCACGCTCTGAAAATGCACATTTTGAGCTAAGAGTGATTAAAAGAGGTTTCAGAAGATATTGCTGCAGTGCTTGTGATCGCGAGTTTTCAAGCGTGTCATACTGCAGAGCGCATTTGAACACGCACAGAGGCCTAAAAACTAATGCCAGTTGCCCTGTTTGCTTTAAGATCTTCTCCCGACACAATGACATGTTGAGGCATAAAGCTTCTCACGATGGGAAAACTCGGTGCAAATTTTGCAAGCGGGTTTTTGCCACCCCGCGTTACCTTCAAGTACATTATGAAATTTGCAAATCGGCACCCCAAAATTAAATTTAAAGTCAATTTCATTATTGAATGGGTAAATGTTGCGAAAATCACTTGGCAGTGATTTCAATAATACGAGAATGTATAAGTCTTTAAATAAATAAAATCGTGTAAAGAATATAATTATTCACTATCATTTATATCAAACGCTCAAGCAAAATGAAAGGTTCAATGTTGTTTGCAGAAGTGCTCGAAGTGATCCAAAAAGGCCCTGGCCGATATTGCTGCAGTGCCTGTAGCCGCGAATTTACTCACAGAGCGTCATGCCATTCACACTTGGAAGTGCACAGGGGCAAAACGGTCTGCCCGATTTGCTTCAAAGTTTTCTCGCGCCTCTACGACATGCAAAATCACAAAGCGGCTCACAACGGAGAAACCCAATGCAGTGCTTGCAAAAAAGTTTTGGGCTCTCATTTCAGCCTTGCTAGACATAAGAGAAAATGCCCAGTTCTGAATAAGGATCAGACCCAAAGAGTCGTTCAGACACGGAAACATTAATACTCGAAGTTGGTTAAAAAAAAAATTTTCAGTTGGGTTCTAAAGCTTTTGTCTCAAAATGGAAATTACAAATTTGAGAAGTTTTATTTAAAGAATTAAGTAAGGAAAAGTATCAAGACAAAAATTGTTCCAATAGAATAACCTTGCTCTACTAAAAACGAGGAAAAGAATTTTGTCTGAAAGTGTCTCCTTTTGTGACGTTGCAGGCGGGCAAACAATTACCCTGGTGCTGCCGACGGGCGTTATCAGTTCTATGGGTCCGCGGCCGCGACGCACGGGGCAAGCGTACATTCACATAATCGCCGATGCGGGCAAGTTCACTTGCAGCATTTGCGGCAAGTCGTTCGCGCACCGCGGCTCATGTTGGACGCACACGCGCGTCCACTTAGGCGAGACGACGTGCGGCGTGTGCAACCGCGTGTTCGCCAGCACCAACAGCCTGCGCAACCACTTAGAGACACACAAAGCGGCCACTGGAAAGTGAATGTGTTTTTGCTTGCAGGCCCGGCCAAACTCACTAACGCGATTTGGCGCACGGACGATGAGCAGTTCATGTGCACCTTCTGCAACAGAACTTTCAAACACTACGCGACGTGCTGGTCGCACGTGCACTTTCACGTCGGCGCCACGCGCTGCCCCGTGTGCAGCAAGACGTGCGCCAACAAAAACCAGCTGAACAAACACATGGACACGCACTTTGGCCGCACCACGTGCCACTTGTGCGGAAAAAGCTTCAGCACTAAACAGTACCTCCCACAGCATCTTGAGAGTGTCCACAAAATCGGCGCGAATCCGTCAAGTTCCTGTTAGATTTTAAAAACTTACGCTAAATGTGAATGATTTGGAGATAAAGACGCAAGGCCCTGATGTGAGATGTGTTGCAGGCCTGCCCGAGTTCCAGGCGAGCCAATTTGCGGTTGACGCGCCGCCGGGCACGAAAGTTAGACTGATCAAGCGCGGCGGCCTTTTCATGTGCAGTGTGTGTGGACAAACTTTCAAACACCGCAGCACCTGCAACTCGCATTTGTACTTCCACCTCGGCCACACCACTTGCGAAGAGTGTGGCAAAGTTTTCCGCTTTAGACGAAACTTCTTGCGTCATCTGAAAACGCATCAATTTGCGTTGATTTGAGCATGTGATTGAAATAAATTAACTAGTTATATGTCAAAAAGGATCATTTTTTACAAATCATAAATCCACTAACAGTTTTGAGTTGCAAAAAAATTCAAAATATTGGCTTACATCAAACTCTAACTTAAACGCGTGTATCCAATGATGTGCGACTTATTTAGAATCTCCCCGATTTAACTTAGATTACAATACAAAGCAGCATTTCAGAAACAATTTCAAACCAACATCGGCACAGAAGATTCCAAATTTAGATAGGAGAGAGATTTTTATAAAAACAAAATTGGGCTATTTATAAGCTGTCAATTAATTGATTGAAATAGTTTTAAACAAAACCTTTGAAAATTTAGTATGCAAGGAATGTGACTGACTTACAGTTATTGCCCATTTTAAAATCAGTCATGGAATAAATGGAATTAAAAATGGGACTTAACGTGGTGGCTGAAAATTGGCACTCATGAAATAACAAAAAGACCGAGAATGGATCATTTGGCATCATTGGTTTCTTTTAATTGCAGGTCACTTTATGATGGACCCGCACAACTTTGTGAAAGCCACCTACTCAAATCAGTATGATTCGCATTCGGACGAAACTAAAGTCAACATCATAAAGCGGCCGAATAACAGGTTCGAGTGTGGCTGGTGCCGCAAGGTGTTCAGCCACTACCGCACATGCCGCTCGCACACGCACGTGCACCTCGGCAACACAACTTGCAAAATTTGCGGCAAAACGTTCAACTACCGCCACCACCTGAATGAGCACAGCAAAGTGCACATGGCCAAAACGAGGTGCGCCGAGTGCGGAAAGAGCTTCAGCACCATTCACAATCTCACCAGGCACATGCAGACGGCGCACAAAAAGTCGTCGAGTGCCAGGAAAAAGCAAAAGTGAACGCACATAACATAAAAAAAGGTGGAGAATAAAACAGCGGAACAATGAACGCACGTCCGTGGTGTTGGCACTGATTTTATTTTTTAATTTTAAAATGATGGATGTTGAAGGAGCTAATAAAAATAAATCAAATGTTTCTTTTTACAGAATGAAAAAAGTCTAATTTTTCCTATCTTAAATGAATAAAAATTGAACAAATGACGCTGCTTGATTTTAAAATTCAGTGAATTTAATTCAAACAAAGTTAAATTCAAGTTAATTCATTTTGATAGAATAGGAATGAACTTAATTGCACCAAAATAGCATATTTTGCCATAAGCTTTTTTATCTAGGCCAATTTGAGCTGTCTGAAAGAATGTTTTGACAACAGCTAATAAAAATTTTTGAAATGAAACGTTGATAAACTTCGGTCATCTACATATAAGATTTCCTGTTTTTTGAACAGTTTCCTTAGTGGTCTGTGGCCTAGCAGTATGAGTAATTTTAAAGCTCTAGGCTTTGATTAAATTTAAAATAACAAAGTAAGTAATGACAGGCTTGGACTGAAATGATTAAAATGGTGGTGTTCATTCACGTTTCAGAACTTTCGGCCAAAAAAGTCTGTGCAATCCAACAAAGCGACGGCAAATTTGCATGCAGCAAGTGCAAAAAGACGTTCAAACATTACCGCACATGTCAATCGCACATGTACGCCCACATGGGCAAAACCACCTGTCCCGTGTGCGGCAAGTTCTTCTCGTACATGAGCGACTGCAAAAAACACGAGCGTTTGCACTACGATTCGACCTCATCCGTGTGCAGTGTCTGCAAAAAAGTTTTCGGTAGCAAGGCAGCGCTCGTAAGGCACCAGCAATACATGCACGGTATCTTCAATGTCAGTTTGGGCAGCGAAAAGTCCAGCCAAGTGAAATGAGCAAGAGTTTTTGGAACATTTAATGAAAGAGTTGTGAAAATGCAGCTTCGCCTGAAAATGAATTAAAATGAGTTAAATAATTTATATAAATGTCAATGATTATCAATGCTCATGGTGATGGAACTAATAAAAATAAATCAGGTTTTTTTTAGTGTTCGAACAATGATTTCCTTATCAGTATTGGGAATATAGCAAAAATGCTGAAATTATTTATTTCGGAAATGGTGGAAAAGTTTTGAACCCACTGAAAATTTTCTAGGCATACAGATGCCCGGAGGAATCGGCCCTGCCATGGTCTGTTGCAAAGCGTGCAAGCAGTTTTTCGGATCGCAAGACGAATTGTGGGAACACGCGACGCGGTCAGACAACCACAGTCATCTGCTGTGCCACCAATGCCAAAAAATATTTGTCTCCAAATACACGTTGGAGCGGCACAACAATTTGCATTTGGCCGAAATTAAGTGCGAAATATGCGGACAAGTTTTTGATAGGGTGGCGTATCTGGAGAGGCACACAAGAACGCGCCACACAATAAATTTTTGAAAATGAGCCGTGGAGACGTTGCAAGTGATGTGATTCTCTGGTTTCAGAATTCGATCAAAATGCTATCGTGAGAGGTCAGTACAGTTGCGAAACGTGTGGCAAAACCTACTCAGGTAGCAGAGGCATTGAAAGCCACCGCGAATGGCACTTGGGACAAACAACCTGCTTCATTTGCAACAAAACATTCAAGTCTAGAGAAGGTTTGCTCAGACATAAGTATATTCACCAAGGCTCAACCCAGTGCGATGTGTGCCACAAAGTGTTCAGCAGGGCCGACAGTTTGAAAAGGCACAAACTAATGGTCCACAATGAAGGGTCTTAGAACAATGTCTCTTTCTCGCTTAACATATTCCAATGTCGAATTTTATGTTTTTTATTAGTATTTTCTATTTGACCAAGATTGCTAAATTCAATAAAATTATTTAATAATTTGCCTAATTTTTTGTTTTTAAATAACAAAATCATTTTGTTCCGCTTGACCAGTACAAATTAAAAATCAAGCAAATGGTGAAATACTGCAGTAATTAATGAATTTAATAAATGTAATTTTATTTTCAATTGATTTCACCTGAAGTGATGAAAAATTATTTAGATGAAAGGAGGGCGTTAAAATTGAGATTATTTAATATTTTCATGAAAAAGAAATTAGTAACATCAATTAGACTCACTTTTACCATTGT